GGTACGAAAGCCTGTACACAACTGCAGCCATGCAGTAAGCCAAGAGATGTCAGCTAGTTCCATCACTCCAAGTAATGTCAGGTTGACTTATTCCAGCACCAGAGGCTCCAGGGGTTAGAGTTCAGGGGCCAAAGTTACACACTAAAGCCAATAGCAGTTGCACACTCCCTCTCATGGACTTAACAATGGTGTCCCTTCATCCGATGCTTACACCAATTCAATGATTTTAAATCCATGATGGGTGGAGAATCGCGACATAGCCAATGACAGTCTAAGCTTTCCTCCAGAGAGAGAATAGGGGAAGAGGACAGAATGTTTGGGCCATCCTGGTGAAAGCAATGCATCCTACTATACTGCACACCAATTCCACACAGTCAATACCACACCTTCACACAGCAGGACAAGAGGAAGAGAAGAAAAACACAGATGTTGGGCAAAAGCCTAAACCACCATGCACTATGGTTAAATATGTGTGTATGGGCTTTACTTTAAGTTGTAATTTGATAAAATATAAATAGTTTATATATATATATATATATATATATATATATATATATATATATATATATATATATATATATAGTACCAGTCAAAAATTTGGACACACCTACTCATTCAAATTGTCTTAATTTTTACTATTTTCTATACTATAGATTAATAGTGAAGACATCACAACTATGAAATAACACATATGGAATCATGTAGTAACCAAAAAAGTGTTAAACAAATCAAAATATATTTTAGATTTTAGATTCTTCAAAGTAGCCACCCTTTGCCTTGATGACAGCTTTGCACACTCTTGGTATTCTCTCAACCAGCTTCATGATGAATGCTTTTCCAACAGTCTTGAAGGAGTTCCCACATATGCTAAGCACTTGATGGCTGCTTTTCCTTCACTCCAACTCATCCCAAACCATCTCAATTGGGTTGAGGTCGGGTGATTGTGGAGTTGATGTTGAGATGTGTCAGTTACTTGAACTCTGTGAAGCATTTATTTGGGCTGCAATCTGAGGTACAGTTCACGCTAATGAATTTATCCTTTGCAGCAAAGGTAACTCTGGGTCTTCCTTTCCTGTGGCGGTCCTCATGAGAGCCAGTTTCATCATAGCGCTTGATGGTTTTTGCAACTGCACTTGAAGAAACTTTCAAAGTTCTTGAAATTTTCCGGGTTGACTGACCTTCACATCTTAAAGTAATGATGGAGTGTCGTTTCTCTTTACTTATTTGAGCTGTTCTTGCCATAATATGGACTTGGTCTTTTACCAAATAGGGATATCTTCTGTATACCACCCCTACCTTGTCACTACACAACTGATTGGCTCAAACGCATTAAGAAGAAAATAAATTCCACAAATTAACCTTTAATAACAAGGCACACCTGCTAATTGAAATGCATTCCAGTTGACTACCTCATGAAGCTGGTTGAGAGAATGCCAAGAGTGTGCAAAGCTGTCATCAAGGCAAAGGGTGGCTATTTGAAGAACCTCACATATAAAACATATTTTGATTTGTTTAAAACTTTTTGGGTTACTACATGATTCCATATGTGTTATTTCATAGTTTTGATGTCTTCACTATTATTCTACAATGTAAAAAATAATAAAAATAAAGAAAAACCCTTGAATGAGCAGGTGTGTCCAAACTTTTGACTGGTACTGTATACATATTCCAATATCCATTTATTGGTGTGTGTGTGTGTGTGTGTGTGTGTGTGTGTTGCATGGTTACAGTTGAAGTCGGAAGTTTACATACACTTAGGTTGGAGTCATTAAAACTCGTTTTTCAATCACTCCACAAATTTCTTGTTAACAAACTATAGTTTTAGCAAGTCGGTTAGGACATCTACTTTGTGCATGATACAAGTATTAATACTTTTTCCAACAATTGTTTACAGACAGATTATTTCACTTATAATTCACTGTATCACAATTCCAGTAGGTCAGAAGTGTATATACACTAAGTTGACTGTGCCTTTAAACAGCTTGGAAAATTCCAGAAAATGATGTTATGGCTTTAGAAGCTTCTGATAGCCTAATTGACATCATTTGAGTCAATTGGAGGTGTACCTGTGGATGCATTTCAAGGCCTACCTTTAAACCCAGTGCCTCTTTGCCTGACATCATGGGAAAATCAAAAGAAATCAGCCAAGACCTCAGAAAAAGAATTGTAGACCTCCACAAGTCTGGTTCATCCTTGGGAGCAATTTCCAAACGCCTGAAGGTACCATGTTCTAAGGTCTAAGGTCTAAGGCACTGCATCGCAGTGCTAACTGTGCCACTAGAGATCCTGGTTCGAATCCAGGCTCTGTTGCAGCCGGCCGCGACCAGGAGACTCATGGGCGGCGCACAATTGGCCCAGCGTCGTCCAGGGTAGGGGAGGGAATGGCCGGCAGGGATGTAGCTCAGTTGATAGAGCATGGCGTTTGCAACGCCAGGGTTGTGGGTTCGATTCCCACGGGGGGCCAGTATAAAAAAATATGTATTCACTAACTGTAAGTCGCTCTGGATAAGAGCGTCTGCTAAATGACTAAAATGTAAAATGTAAATGTAAATGTTCATCTGTACAAACAATAGTACGTAAATATAAACACTATGGGACCACGCAGCCGTCATACCGCTCAGGAAGGAGACACGTTCTGTCTCCTAGAGATGAACGTACTTTGGTCGAAAAGTGCAAATCAATCCCAGAACAACAGCAAAGGACCTTGTGAAGATGCTGGAGGAAACAGGTACAAAAGTTTTTATATCCACAGTAAAACGAGTCCTATATCGACATAACTTGAAAGGCCACTCAGCAAGGAAGAAGCCACTGCTCCAAAACCGCCATAAAAAAGCCAGACTACGGTTTGCAACTGCACATGGGGACAAAGATCGTACTTTTTGGAGAAATGTTCGGCCATAATGACCATTGTTATGTTTGGAGGAAAAAGGGGGCTGTTGCAAGCCGAAGAACACCATCCCAACCGTGAAGTACAGGGGTGGCAGCATCATGCTGTGGGGGTGCTTTGCTGCAGGAGGGACTGGTGCACTTCACAAAATAGATGGCATCATGAGGAAAGAAAATTATGTGGATATATTGAAGCAACATCTCAAGACATCAGTCAGGAAGTTAAAGCTTGGTTGCAAATAGATCTTCCAAATGGACAGTGACCCCAAGCATACTTCCAAAGTTGTGGCAAAATGCCTTAAGGACAACAAAGTCAAGGTATTGGAGTGGCCATCACAAAGCCCTGACCTCAACCCTGACTCAGTTACACCAGCTCTGTCAGGAGGAATGGGCCAAAATTCACCCAACTTATTGTGGGAAGCTTGTGGAAGGCTACCCGAAACGTTTGACCCAAGTTAAACAATTTAAAGGCAATGCTACCAAACACTAATTGAGTGTATGTAAACTTCTGACCCTCTGGGAATGTGATGAAAGAAATAAAAGCTTAAATAAATAACTCTCTCTCTCTGACATTTCACATTCCTAAAATAAAGTGGTGATCCTAACTGACCTAAGACAGGGAATTTTTGCTAGGATTAAATGTCAGGAATTGTGGAAAACTGAGTTTAAATGTATTTGGCTAAGGTGTATGTAAACTTCCGACTTCAACTGTATGTGTATTGAGCGTGTGTGTGCACAAGACTCATTAGTCCAATCCTCTGAAGTGCCTGTACACTCCTCTCCCTGCCTACAGAGCTAAGGGGGTTATGGGAACTTTTAAATGAGGGATGATTACACCATGACTTTCAATAACCTCTACAGCTCTCCCATAGGAGCACATGTTACTGTAATCAAATATGATTCTATTAATCAGAACTAAATACTGATGCTGCTGACCTATGACCTTCTTTGAGCTTTCACTAGAGGAAAATCAAGAGTGTAATGGGTCATCATCTCAAGTTAAGGAAGGATATTTTTGTATAATTGCTTTATTACATGGTACTCTAGTTCTGTCATAGAATTATCTAAAGGCTTTTGGGTAACATTGTCATAATTTTTATGACAAAGAATTAATAAACTGTTTATAAACTATTAATAGCAGTTCACTATTTGTAAACATTATACACATTTATATGCATTTATAAGCCATTAGTATTATTATCCTTACAAATCATAAGCATGTATAACATTTAGAATGCAAGCAATTACAAGCATAAAGGCTTGTTCATTAAAGTTATTATAAAATAGCGGCTTTTGTATATTATAGAATAGAATGAGGTATCAGTATTAGAGAGCTAAGGCACAAGCAAGACAGACACCGAGACAGAGAGTAGTGGAAAAACGAATGCCTCATATACAGTGAACAGTCTAATCTCAGACTGACTCTCCATAATGATGGCATGTTGTACACGCTCACTCCTCAAAGAGACACCCAATTTGGTGTAAAATGCACAGCGATAGCAATACATAATGGTAGCTCTTTTTGAATAATTTTGTCAAGGCTAAGTGAACTGTGACAGCTACAATTAGAAGTGGGCCTGTATACAGTGCACATTTGTTTTCAGGAGTGCTTTTCTCTGGTTTAATGTCAGAGATGCAGGACTACTATACGTTTGACCAATGCAGGGTTAGTGTGCATATGGATACATAATACACAATGGACTCAAACTGAGTAATAATGGATTGGATTTGTATGGGAGTGAGTGTGTACAGAGCAAAATAATGAGTGATAAGAGGGGTAGAGACCAGTGGAGGCTGGTGGGAGGAGCTATAGGAGGACGGGCTCATTGTAATATGGAATCAATGGAACGGTATCAAACACATCAAACATATGGAAACCACATGTTTGACTCCATTCCATTAATTCCATTCCAGCCATTACAATGAGCCCGTCCTCCTATAAGCTCCTCCCACCAGCCTTCACTGGTAGAGACAGAAGCAAGACAGATACATCTCTACGCAGCCACTGCTGTAACCCCAGCTGAAAAGGAGAAAAGCCATCCCCTAGATGCGCCGTTAGCAACAATAACAATCTACAGAGCTACACACACTCTACTAACAAAAGCAAGACAAGTCTAGACAAATAAGAAATTTGCTGCACTTGCATTCGCACTCAAGCAAACATTCCCACAAACGCCTACGCAGTCACACACACTTACTGTACACGATAACCATACCTTTTTGACATCTCTGACCAGGTGGTATAGAGTGTTGGATGGTCCATGCCTCTGACAAAGCAAACAGAAGCAGAGTTTAGTCCACAAGCCACGGCCTCCAGCTGTAGAGCTATGACAGATGGCTCATTTGAATAAAGTACCATACTGTAGGTATAGTATTATGTCATTGTTGATAATAACTGCCTATGATGGCTGTTACAATGTCTTATGTAGCTGTTATAAAGGCTTTAAGAATGAATACATAGGAGGGATACAGTACAGAGTTACCATTTCATTATTATTACAGAGTAACACCAGGAGAGAGTATAAGCGTTTCATAGTGTTATAACAACTTGTGTTCTACATATTTCAGGGGTTGGAGCAGTTGTTACAAAAATACTGTATTTAAATACGGAGAGTTCAGCGGTGTCTGCCATGCAGTGTAGTACCGTGTTGTAGAGCTCCTCCAGTCTGGAGAGTGTGAGGAAGCGATGCATGCTCACTCCGTTCTCGATCAGCAGCTTGACGAAGTCCACTCTGTCCAGCACCAGGGCATCCAGCATAGACTGCTCCAGAGAACCCACCTACCATACACACAGGGAAGGCACAGTCAGTCAGTCAACTCAGGGTTAACCATCGAGAAACGCAACCTAAATCCTGATGGATAAAGCATACGTTCACATTTTCACTTGGAGAGTGCTGTCTCTAGTCTATACTGTAAACAAGGAAGTGATAAGTTATAGGCTGGATCTTTCAGGCCACTGCTGTGGGAAATATTTACATTTTTACATTTTTTTTCTTCATTTTAGTCATTTAGCAGACGCTCTTATCCAGAGCAACTTACAGTAGTGAGTGCATTCATTTTCATACTTTTTTTTAATACTGTAATATAGAACTAAACGCTCTAAAGTCTAAGTACTATAACTACATGATCCGTTGGACAGTACTGTAGTCTATACTGTAAAGTAGGAAGTGAAGCTGAGTCTTACAGGCCACTGCTGTCCGTAGATGAAGATCTGACTGCGGGCGATGTCCACTCGGTTCCAGGCCAGGGCCAGGCTGAGTTGGTCAGGAGCCGATGCGTTGGCTCCTAGGAGGAGGAACAAAGAGCATCACTTTTTTTTCAGTTGATCTACATAATAACAAGTTGTTTTTTAGGATGTAAGGTGATATGTAGGCCAGTCTGCAGTCGTCGACTGCAATCTCAAACTCGCATATTTACTTCTCCTGCTGGAGGTAGATGGAGGTATTTACTTATTTTTTATTGGAAGGGCAGAACATCTTTGTTTAGCAAGCAACAAAGGAGATTGCTGTATTTGTGCGGTTCTTCTTAAAGGACAGCCAAAGGTAGTTGTTCTTGGCCTCCGACACCTACCACTTGCTTTCTTTTTGAGAAAGGATATTTGTCATGCTTTAACAGAGCTTGGTAATGATATGCAGAGTAGTGTAACAGGAGTTTAATAGAGAAGTCTTACTAAAAGGGACTGCTCGCGTTTATCACTGGTTTTAAATAACCCTTAGCTCTCCGCAGCGCTGTAGTCGCTGGAGTTTATGGACTCCTTCCGACATAGTTCATCAATTACTCTCTCTTTCCCTCTCTCTCCCTCTCTGTTTCCCTGTATCACTATCTCTCACACAATTTTTCTCTCATTCTCGCTCTAAAAAGACACAGTATGCATAATGAAGTCTGTACTTTTTACTGGTCATGCTTGTGACAGTCCATGTCAGATAGAGAGATCACTCACACAGAGAGAGAGGGGGATGGACAGAGAGATATGAATAGGAGATGCAAAAAAGAAAGAGTATTGCAAAAAATGCCTTATTTTTTGGCAGCATGTAGGAGACAGGCTTTTGTTTCATTACCTTCTGATGCCAACTGTCTGACTTAAGGAGCCTCTCGTTATATAGTGTGCACGTATGGAAAATCACTGTAGAAAACTCACAAGGGACGGTTTCCTAAAATTGCTGTATTATTGAAATGGTTCTAGTTTTCAAACTGGATTTGGGCAATGGCAAATGTGCATAAAGATGGCAAAATTTAGATATGACGTCATTGTTTTAGCACTTAAAATACGGCGCGCGATATGGTTCAATGTGCCAATAAATCAGCACAATCTACCTGTCCGTTACTATAAAACATATAGTAACGGACAGCAATGTACAATATGGTGAACAAAACAAGGAATTTGTAGTAAGTGCGTGGTGGCCGCCATTTTTATGCACCTCCTCTATTGAAAGATAGTGCTGAGCTATAAACAAGAAACTGTGTTTGTGTATCCTACACTCTTAGAAAAAAAGGTGCTACCTAGAACCTAAAAGGGCTCTTTGGCTGTCCCAATAGGAGAACCCTTTAAATAATAGTTTTTGGTTCCAGGCAGAACCCTTTCGGTTCCACGTAGAACCCTTTTGTGTTCCATGTAGAACCCTTTCCACGAAAGGTTCTACATGGAACCCAAAATAGTTCTACATGGAACCTAAAAGAGTTCTTCCTAGAACCAAAAAGGGTTCTTCCTGGAACCAAAAAGGGTTCTCCTATGGGGACAGCCAAAGAACCCCTTTGGAACCCCTTTTTCTTCGATTGTAGTGTGTGTTTTCTGTGTTGGTGTTTGTGTATCATACTGTGTGTTACCTGTGTTTGTGTATTCTAGTGTATGTTATCTCCTCCTCGTGCCTTGAAAAAGGACCTTGTAAAGGACCAAGGAGATATGCTTTGGTAGATAAAACTGTAATTGGGGCCTCAGCAGGAGGAAAGCTTTCTGAAATTATATCATATCCTCCTTTTAACTTCCCAGGATACACACATAAACAGAGAGAATTTCCTCAGGGTACCACTGAAAGGGAACTCATGGATTCCGAACACGTTGACAAGCATGCACGCACTCACATGCGCACACAGACAATTACCTTTAAGCAGAGCAGTGAGAATGGCCAGGTCAATGTCCTGGTGTCCCTCAGACCCCATCCGAAAAACTGTTATCTGAAACATACAGAGAGAGAAAATAAAGAAAGAAAGAAAGAAAGAAAGAAAGAGGAAGAGAGAGAGAGAGAGAGAGAGAGAGAGAGAGAGAGAGAGAGAGAGAGAGAGAGAGAGAGAGAGTGAGAGAGAGAGAGTGAGAGAGTGAGAGGGAGAAATGAATATAATCTGTATGTAATCTGTACATCATTATTCATCAGGATTCTGTTTCTTTCTTGCTTGCTGAATGAATAAGTGTTTTTACCCATAGAGATAATTAGCGCTGTGAGTAAACCAGTCACGTCATAGCGCAGTGCTTTTGATACATGGGATTAGAAAGCATCTGTAAATGGCTAAGATGCTGCCTGAAGTTCTGAGCAGAGGAAAGTGCAATATGCTCCCTAGCTGACTCACTTTGTGGAACGGAACAAACACAGTAAAGTAGCTTGTATGCAATGTGGTCCCAGTAGAAAAGAAGGGAAGAGATCAAATGGAATGGCTAGAGAGAGTTTGAGAGAGAGAGAGAGAGAGAGAGAGAGAGAGAGAGAGAGAGAGAGAGAGAGAGGAGAGAGGAGAGAGAGAGAGAGAGAGAGTGAGAGAGAAAGGTGAGAGAGAGATAGGTGGTGGAGAGCCGGAAGAGAGACAGTTAGAGAGAGAGAGAGAGAGAGAGAGAGAGATCTATAGTGACTGGAGACCCTTTTGTGGAGTACAGTACAGAACAGTCAGTATGGTACAGTATAGTACAGAATGGTACAGAATGGTACAGTACAGTATAGTATAGTATAGTATAGTATAGTACAGTACAGTACAGTATGGTAAAGTATAGTATAGTACAGTACTAGTATAGTATAGTATAGTATAGTATAGTATAGTATAGTACAGTACATTATAGTACAGTACATTATAGTACAGTACAGTATAGTATAGTATAGTATAGTATAGTATAGTATAGTATAGTATAGTATAGTATAGTACAGTACAGTATAGTATATTATAGTATAGTGCAGTATAGTATAGTATAGTATAGTACAGTACAGTACAGTATATTATAGTACAATATAGTATAGTACAGTATAGTAAAGTACAGTATAGTATATAGTACAGTACAGTACAGTACAGTACAGTATAGTATAGTATAGTATAGTACAGTACAGTACAGTATAGCACAGTACCGTATAGTATAGTATAATACAGTATAGTATAGTACAGTATAGTACAGTAGAGTACAGTACAGTACAGTATAGTATAGTACAGTACAGTACAGTATATTAAAGTATAATACAGTATAGTACAGTATAGTACATTATAGTACAGTATAGTATAATACAGTATAGAACTGTACAGTATAATATATTACAGTATAGTACAGTATAGTACAGTATAGTACAGTATTGTACAGTATTGTATAGTATAGTATAGTATAGTATAGCACAGTACAGTATAGTATATTATAGTAAAGTACAGTATAGTACATTATAGTACAGTATAGTGCAGTATAGTAAAGTATAGTACAGTATAGTACAGTATAGTGCAGTATAGTAAAGTATAGTACAGTATAGTACAGTATAGTGCAGTATAGTACAGTACAGTACAGTATAGTACAGTACTCCCGAGTGGCGCAGTGGTCTAAGGCTGTGCCACTAGAGATCCTGGTTCGAATCCAGGCTCTGTCGTAGCCGGCCGCAACCGGGAGACCAATGGGGCGGCGCACAATTGGCCCAGCGTCGTCTAGGGTAGGGGAGGGAATGGCCGGCAGGGAGGTAGCTCAGTTGTTAGAGCATGGTGTTTGCAACGCCAGGGTTGTGGGTTCGATTCCCACTGGGGGCCAGTATAAAAAAATATATATAAAAAAATAAAAAAATAAAAAATGTATGCACTAACTGTAAGTCGCTCTGGATAAGAGCGTCTGCTAAATGACGTAAATGTAAATGTAAATGTATAGTATAGTGCTGTATAGTATAGTATAGTGCAGTATATTACAGTATAGTACAGTATAGTAGGCAAGAGAATAAAGAGAAAGAAGAAGGGCACAAAGTAAGAGACTGGGAAGGAGGGAGGGAAAACAGAGGGAGGGTAAAAGAGAGAGGGAATGCGGCAGTTCCTCCAGATTGTGTCACATGATGGCAAGTGTGTGAAGGGCACCTTGCAGCTCCATGTATGAGCTGCGTGTTCGGAATGCCAGAGCGCACTATGGACCCCAGCCACAGGGTCATAAATCTATTCCTCTAATCCCTCCATCCTCCTCTCCTTCTCTCCCTCTCTTTCGTTCTCTTTTTCCCTTCAGACACCAAAAATGCGAGAGAAATGGCAAATAATTCAACTCAAACATTATGATTTATTTAGACACTGGCTCGTTCATTATTTGTCCGCCACTGAGATCACACATTGTCCCCTTGGAATGGGCTCTGTGATCTCCTGGAGCGAGAGAACTGGGCATACTGTATGTGTGTGTTAGGGTTACCTCCAGTCCTGTGTTGCTCTACCATAGACTTAGTTAGACAAAACTATTTTGTATCTGTCCTATTATGGTGTCTGTGAGCAGCACCATTGAGGCCATCTCCAGGTTATTTTCTAAACAGTGATCTCTATCTCTATGGTCTCTACATGAGCGTATGTATGAGTATTCATTACTGTGTTTATGGTGTGAATAATGTAAGTATCCGCATACAATGTATGCGGCAGGTAGCTTAGTGGTTAAGAGCGTTGTGCCAGTAACCGAAAGGTCGCTGGTTCTAATCCCCGAGCCGACTAGGTGAAAAATCTGTCGATGTGCCCTTGAGCAAGGCACTTAACCCTAATTGCTCCTGTAAGTCGCTCTGGATAAGAGCGTCTGCTAAATGACAAAAAATAAAATAAAATAAAAAAATAAATGTCATCTGCATGATATACATGGATGAATCTGTCAATCTGTGAGAGAGTGCGTGGTGTGAGTTTTGTGTGTGTGAGAGTATTTGAAAGGCCTTTCTCCAGGTGAAATTGGAGAGTAAATTAGATGTGACGGTATAGATCCAAGTCTTCATTGCCTGTATGAGAACAGATAGAGTAATTATTGCAGTGTGTATGTTGTCTGTGTGGTTGTCTGTGTGTGCGTGTGCGTGTGCGTGTGCGTGTGCGTGTGCGTGTGCGTGTGCGTGTGTGGGAGGGAGGGAGTGGGAGTGAGGGAGGGAGTGAGTGAAGGCCAGTGTGTGGTCAGGGAAAGATTATTCCAGTGAAGGTTATTGATGACCTGGTGTGTGTGCCTGTGGTGTCTTGAGAACAGGCCAGGACTGGACCATCACATCTCTCACTGTCCAAGTGATTATGGCCATTTCACTATGGGAGACACTAACAAGCAATCCTGCAAGCCATCTGCTCAACCAAAACTCAACATCATAATCAAGGATGTGTGTGTGTGTGCTGAGCGTTCACTGAATGTCTGTGTTTGTGACCGTAATGCCACACAATCAGTGTCCATCACTAGGGGCTTAGGTTTTTTCCCCTAATGCAGGGGAAAGAAATACACTCCTCCCCTTCTCCATTTGTATCCTACAGGGAAATGTTTGCTTGAGTGCTCACTATTGGTATTCTATGTCTATATTTAGTAGTGATGCGTGCATTGGTTTCGCACAGGCCGCCATATACATTTTTCAGATATGCTATAGCCTCTAATGCTGATTGGTCAACAGTCTTTGTGAAGCAAATATTTATATCTCATTCAATAGATGATTGGCATAGCTTGACACTTCAAGAGCTTGGGACTATAAGGTTCTATCTGCAAAAAGATGATACTGAGACAATTGGCTTTAATGTTCTGAACACTCATTGTTTTGAATGGTGTCAGCAATTTTTGTCTTGTATTCTTTTGAGCTTAACAACATGAATTGGAGTATTTAGACTACTGTATAGGTAGAGAACAAGGCTATGTCAATAACTCAATTTTGATAAAAATGCAGATAGAACCTTATAGTCTTGACTTTCATGCCTATTGATTGACATATGTCACTTGGCTAGGACTGATGAAGAGGACAGGCCATCAACAGCCGTCCATCACACTAACAAACGTTGAGGAGAGGGCAGAGGAAGAAGAGATAAACTAGTAAGAAGCCCCCCTTTTAAGTGAGAATGGATGCTGTTTGATCGTGGTGCTAGTGCATATTTAAACACTCAACATGCTTAGGTATCAAGAGAATGCTCTTCATGGCCAAATGGCTCAGGCTGATAGGAAGACATTCATCTTAATTTAGCATGGAAATATTTTCCCTCACACCAGCCCACCGCCAAACCTCCCCTCACATCAGCCGACCGCCAAACCTCCCCTCACACCAGCCCCCCACCAACCCTGCCTGTAGGTGGCCTCCTCTCCCCTCCCCTCCACTCCACCAGTCTCAACACAAGCCCTGTGACCCACTTCACTGCTCCTACTGCTTAACCTAATTATGTTGCCTCCATCTATCTCTCTGTCTCTCTGTCTATCTGTCTTTCTTTCTATTAATGCTGGAAATTGCCAGGGACCTCAAGATACGATGTTATCACGATACTTAGGTGCCGATATGATATGTATTCTGATTCTCCCGATTCTATATGTATTGCTATTCGATACTGCAATTTTATTGTGATTCAATGTTACAAACATATTGCTCCATCCCAGCAAACCAAAATTGGTTCAGTGAAAGTTCTCAGAACATTTGTTAGGTGGCGGCAAATGTCCTCATAACACAAAAGCTGTCCAGTCGTGCTGATGATTATAGAGGGTTAATGATCTGGTTGCAGACCCGAAGATTGCAGCTTTAACCATGTTTCTATGAAAATAAAAATAAAAAGTGAAATTGAGGCTCAAATACACTCTTCTAAAAGAGAGGACGTATTTATTTCATCAAGATTTATAAATCCAGTCAGAAATGCAGAATTTAGACTAACTGTAAAAAAAATTAAACATGGTGTAAAAATTTCATTTAAAATAAACAAACCCAATATAATTCATACTTTGAGATGCTTGACATGGTCCCCCGTTTTATTTTTCATGATCTGAAAAGCAAAGGTGATCCTAGATCAGCACTCATGGATACCTTGTAAATATGTGCAGCATATAAAGAGGATGGGTGAAGTGATGGTGAATAACCCAGTTATCAGTATTTCCCTGGGTTAGTTACAGTGGGGAAAAAAAGTATTTAGTCAGCCACCAATTGTGCAAGTTCTCCCACTTAAAAAGATGAGAGAGGCCTGTAATTTTCATCATAGGTACACGTCAACTATGACAGACAAATTGAGAAGAAAAAATCCAGAAAATCACATTGTAGGATTTTTTATGAATTTATTTGCAAATTATGGTGGAAAATAAGTATTTGGTCACCTACAAACAAGCAAGATTTCTGGCTCTCACAGACCTGTAACTTCTTCTTTAAGAGGCTTCTCTGTCCTCCACTCGTTACCTGTATTAATGGCACCTGTTTGAACTTGTTATCAGTATAAAAGACACCTGTCCACAACCTCAAACAGTCACACTCCAAACTCCACTATGGCCAAGACCAAAGAGCTGTCAAAGGACACCAGAAACAAAATTGTAGACCTGCACCAGGCTGGGAAGACTGAATCTGCAATAGGTAAGCAGCTTGGTTTGAAGAAATCAACTGTGGGAGCAATTATTAGGAAATGGAAGACGTACAAGACCACTGATAATCTCCCTCGATCTGGGGCTCCACGCAAGATCTCACCCCGTGGGGTCAAAATGATCACAAGAACGGTGAGCAAAAATCCCAGAACCACACGGGAGGACCTAGTGAATGACCTGCAGAGAGCTGGGACCAAAGTAACAAAGCCTACCATCAGTAACACACTACGCCGCCAGGGACGCAAATCCTGCAGTGCCAGACGTGTCCCCCTGCTTAAGCCAGTAATAGAACTTTTTGGTAAAAATTCAACTCGTCCTGTTTGGAGGACAAAGAGTGCTGAGTTGCATCCAAAGAACACCATACCTACTGTGAAGCATGGGGGTGGAAACATCATGCTTTGGGGCTGTTTTTCTGCAAAGGGACCAGGACGTGAGATTTTGAGTGAAAACCTCCTTCCATCAGCAAGGGCATTGAAGATGAAACGTGGCTGGGTCTTTCAGCATGACAATGATCCCAAACACACCGTACGGGCAATGAAGGAGTGGCTTCGTAAGAAGCATTTCAAGGTCCTGGAGTGGCCTAGCCAGTCTCCAGATCTCAACCCCATAGAAAATCTTTGGAGGGAGTTGAAAGTCCGTGTTGCCCAGCGACAGCCCCAAAACATCACTGCTCTAGAGGAGATCTGCATGGAGGAATGGGCCAAAATACCAGCAACAGTGTGTGAAAACCTTGTGAAGACTTACAGAAAACGTTTGACCTGTGTCATTGCCAACAAAGGGTATATAACAAAGTATTGAGAAACATTTGTTATTGACCAAATACTTATTTTCCACCATAATTTGCAAATTCATAAAAAATAAATTCTCCTCAGACTTGACTGCCCTTGTCCAGCACAAAAACATCCTGTGGCGTACTGCATTAGCATCAAATAGCCCACGCGATTTGCAACTTTTCAGGGAAGTTAGGAACCAATATACACAAGCAGTCAGGAAAGCAAAGGCTAACTTTTTCAAACAGAAATGTGCATCCTGTAGCACTAACTCCAAAAGGTTTTGGGACACTGTAAAGTCCATGGAGAATAAGAGCACTTCCTCCCAGTTGCCCACTGCACTGAGGCTAGGAAACACTATCACCACCGATAAATCTACAATAATCGAGAATTTCAACAAGCATTTTGCTACAGCTGGCCATGCTTTCCATCTGGCTACCACTACCCCCCGGCCACCAACTCTGCACCCTCCGCTGCAACTTGCCCATGCCCCCCCCCCGCTTCTCCTTCACACAAATTCAGACAGCTGATGTTTTGAAAGCGCTGCAAAATCTGGACCCCTACAAATCAGCTGGGCTAGACAATCTGGACCCTTTCTTTCTAAAACTAGCCGCCGAAATTGTTGCAACCCCTATTACTAGTCTGTTCAACCTCTCTTTCATAACGTCTGAGATCCCCAGAGATTGGAAAGCTGCCGCGGTCATCCCCCTCTTCAAAGGGGGTGACACTCTAGATCCAAACTGCTACAGACCTATATCCATCCTGCCCTGCTTTTCGAAAGTATTTGAAAGCCAAGTTAACAAACAGATCACCGACCATTTCGAATCCCACCGTACCTTCTCCGCTATGCAATCCGGTTTCCGAGCTGGTCATGGGTGCACTTCAGCCACGCTCAAGGTCCTAAACGATATTATAACCGCGATTGATAATAGACAGTACTGTGCAGCCGTCTTCATCGACCTGGCCAAGGCTTTCGACTCTGTCAACCACCGCATTCTTATTGGCAGACTAAATAGCCTTGGTTTCTCAAATGACTGCCTCGCCTGGTTCACCAACTACTTCTCAGATAGAGTTCAGTGTGTCAAATCGGAGGGCCTGTTGTCTGGACATTTACATTTTAGTCATTTAGCAGACGCTCTTATCCAGAGCGACTTACAGTTAGTGAATACCTTTTTTATATATTTTTTATATATTGTTTTTATACTGGTCCCCCATGGGAATCGAACCCACAACCCTGGCGTTGCAAACGCCATGCTCTATCAACTGAGCTACATCCCTGCCGGCCATTCCCTCCCCTACCCTGGACAACGCTAGGCCAATTGTGCGCTGCCCATGAGTCTCCCGGTCGCGGCCGGCTGCGACAGAGCCTGGATTCGAACCAGGATCTCTAGTGGCACAGCTAGCACTGGGATGCAGTGCCTTAGACCACTGCACCTATGGCAATCTCTATGGGGGTGCCACAGGGTTCAATTCTTGGGCCGACACTTTTCTCCGTGTATATCAATGATGTCGCTCTTGCTGCTGGTGACTCTCAGATCCACCTCTACGCAGACGACACCATTTTGTATACATCTGGCCCTTCATTGGACACTGTGTTAACAAACCTCCAAACGAGCTTCAATGCCATACAACACTCCTGCAGTAGCCTCCAACTGCTCTTAAACACTAGTAAAACTAAATGCATGCTTTTCAATCGAACGCTGCTGGCACCCGCCCACCCGACTAGAATCACCACTCTCGACGGGTCTGACCTAGAGTATGTGGACAACTACAAATACCTAGGTGTCTGGTTAGACTGTAAACTCTCCTTCCAGACTCACATAAAGAATCTCCAATCCAAAGTTAAATCTAGAATCGGCTTCCTATTTCGCAACAAAGCCTCCTTCACTCATGCTGCCAAACATGCCCTCGTAAAACTGACTATCCTACCGATCCTTGACTTCGGCGATGTCATTTACAAAATAGCCTCCAACACTCTACTCAGCAAATTGGATGTAGTCTATCACAGTGCCATCCGTTTTGTCTCCAAAGCCCCATACACTACCCACCACTGTGACCTGTACGCTCTTGTTGGCTGGTCCTCACTACATGTTCGTCGTCAAACCCACTGGCTCCAGGCCATCTATAAATCACTGCTAGGCAAATCCCCGCCTTATCTTAGCTCATTGGTCACCATAGCAGTACCCACCCGTAGTCTGCGCTCCAGCAGGTATATCTCACTGGTCATTCCCAAAGCCAACACCTCCTTTGGCCGCCATTCCTTCCAGTTCTCTGCTGCCAATGACTGGAACAAATTGCAAAAATCTCTGAAGCTGGAGACTCTTATCTCCCTCACTAACTTTAAGCATCAGTTGTCAGAGCACCTTACCGATCACTGCACCTGTACACAGCCCATCTGAAATTAGCCCACCCAACTACCTCATCCCTATATTGTTATTTATTTTGCTCTTTTGCACCCCAGTATCTCTATTTGCACATAATCTCTTGCACATCTAGCATTCCAGTGTTAATACTATTGTAATTATTTTGCACTATAGCCTATTTATTGCCTTACCTCCATAACTTGCTACATTTGCACACACTGTATATATATTTTCTGTTGTATTTTTGACTTTATGTTTTTTTTACCCCATATGTAACTCTGTGTTGTTTTTATTGCACTGCTTTGCTTTATCTTGGCCAGGTCGCAGTTGTAAATGAGAACCTGTTCTCAACTGGCTTACCTGGTTAAATAAAGGTTAAATAAAAAATTAAAAATTAAAAAATCCTACAATGTGATTTTCAGGATTTTTTTTTCTCATTATGTCTGTCATAGTTGACGTGTACATATGATGAAAATGACAGGCCTCTCTCATCTTTTTAAGTGGGAGAACTTGCACAATTAGTGGCTGACTAAATACTTTTTTCCCCCACTGTATGTCTAAGAAGGCTAAAAAGGAAGCATGGAATTCCTGATTGACCATACTGCCATGTGCTATATACTGAAAAAATAAGATGTAAGCGTGCTTCCTTGGTGGCGCAGAGGATAAAATACCTGGCTTAGGAACCAAACATTGCAGGTTCAAACCCCACATTTGCAGAACGTCAACATATACAGTGTAAAAAATATGTTCAAATGTCTTATGAATGAAATTAAAATGCTTTGTGTCTATATCACCTAGTAGTGGTCCTACTTTTCATTTTAGTCATTTAGCAGACGCTCTTATCCAGAGCGACTTACAGTTAGTGAATGCATACATGTTTTGTTTTTTGTTTTTTCATACTGGCCCCCCGTGGGAAATGAACCCACATCCCTGCCGGCCAAACCCTCCCCTACTTAATACAGTCCTCAAATGCAAATTGCCATTCAATCTGTTGAGAAACATAATGGAAATGTATTCCAATCTGCATTCTCATGCTTTAAGGAGCTACACATTTGCATACTGAGAATGTTGTGGTAATATTAGGTCAAACTTAAATATATCATTTTCTAAATGGTCTGAGGACCTCCAAAACAAGGTAGACATGTATATTGCATGAACATCAATATAATATTTTGTTAAACCTAAAACAAATAAGCTATGAACGTCATAAAAACAGATTTATTTGGAAATTGTGGAACATTATGCAACATTGTGGGAATGTTCTGTGAAACCTTCCTGAATATTACAAGAACATTCTTTATGCAACATTAAGGGAATTTCCTGTGCAACCTAACTTAAACATTGTATGAATGTCATCACAACTGAGCATATTTTGTGTTTTGGGAATCTATCTCTTGTAATATATCCAGACTGTTCCCACAACCTAATTAAATGTTCTGGGAACCTTTAAAGAACGAAGAAAATATGTTTTGTCAACATTCTTGCAACATCAAAATAATGTTTTTTGCACCCTGATCCAAACATTCTGGACAGTTTTAGTGTTTTGGGAACCTATCGTTTGTCATATCCCTATAATGTTCCCACAATCGAAATAAACATTCTGGGAAATACTGTTGTTTTGGTGCAGGTACAGCTGACTAGCGCAAAAATTATATTGTGATATTGTAAAAAAAAAAAAATGTATCCCGATATTTAACTGTATCGATTTTTCCCCTGATCACTTCAATCAGTCAGTCAGTCTGTCTGTCTGTCTATCTGTCTGTATCAGGGCTGAGAATTGTGTTTGGTTTAAAACACGCACCCCTCGCTCAATATGACAAACAAAGCAACAGAGAGATGGAAACAACTGTCTTGGGGCTGAAACTGTCTTCATGAAATCTTAATGTGATAAACCAGCCTTAGCATAATCAAGTAAAAGCCAGATGAATCCTCTCATTGCCAGAGAGGGGGAGGAACATTGAGGGCTGGTGGTTCATACTCAGTCATTAATGGGATTTAAACATACAATGCCTATCCTGCATTTAATTATTAATCTGAGAGAGATGCCGGGGACACTTATCGCACACACAGACTGATCAGAAAAGAGGAGAAACATCTTAGAAAAGGATTCTGCCATAGCAAGCCCATAATGAAGACCGTATTGTGGGGGTATGACATATAATAACCCCTTTGATTTACATATAAGAGAGGAGTAATCTACAGAGATATAAAGGACATGCCATTCTTACAAAGGCATCATAGTGGTGTTATCGTCATTGAGACTTATTTTATGTCTAACGAAACAAATACTCTTTCTTACACACTGTGGATGATTTGAATTCAAATAGTTTTCCAACAGTGGTTCTTTCGGCAGTGTCACTGTGGCGGATCACTGACATGGATATGAAAGAGACGGCTGCTAAATTAAGATATGGGAGCGGTTTAGAGCCTGTGAGGGCATTAGCATGTGCAACAGGGGAGGAAGAGTGTCAAGCAGAGAGCCAGAGACCTGACGCAGACCAGGTCTGACACCTCCAGCGGAGAGAGATAGCCTGGTGATTTCCCTACTGCACGGGGAACAGCAAAAGGTTGACGGGATTCAATGTACAGCAGACGCCCACTGGTCAGCTCGCTGATGAGTACATGAGTTTTGGCCGACACCCTCACCACCATGAGTCCTTGTAAGGAAAAGGAACAAGGTATTCCTGGAACAACCATGCGTTTACAAATGGGATTCGGGAACGAACCCTCTGACGCCTGTCAGTTTGATTAATAGGAAAGGCGTCGCTCATGCTGGAAAACACAGAGAGAGAGATTAAAACCTCTCGGTTTACCAGAAGAATAATTCAGGGATAGCACTATAGGGCAGCGCTGGCAGTGGACCAGCAAGCAGTAATTACCCTGTTCTCAACATGACCCGCTATGGATGCCTACATGGTAGATGGCTACTAATATGTCGAAACACTGACTACACGAAAGAGCACCGAACCTGCTGTGTGAAACAGTGTAGATTAGAATGTAATGATGAAACAGTAGGCAACAAATCCAAGGGATTCCCAATTAGATTATATAATTATTATATTATATTCCTTTATGCAAACTTATTAGTCTCACGTCATCAGAAATCTTACAGGATTGCCTTGCTTTATACAGCCAACACCACACTGCCATGCTTGGCATTACCCTGCATCAGCCTCAGCCAAGCTAGACCAAGGTGGCAGCACATACCAACCAATTCTCCTCAGTATGATCCATCTCATAGAGGACGTACTGTACTGTACTGTAGCAAAGTAGTAGTAGAGTAGCTAGTGGTGGCAGTAGATGAGGAAGAGGTTGACTCTTTTGTCTATTGGGTTTTCTTGGCTCTATGTTCTCCAGCGACTCCATTCAACTGGGTGTTCTGGAGATGCATCTGAGTGAGCATCAATCACACTGTAAACCCCACAGAGCTCAAATTAATCCACTTACACACCCCACATCCGTAACCAGCATCTCTCTTCCTCCCGCCCTCCCTCCCTCCATGTAGGAATATGCAGTTCCCTGTCTTTGTGTGTGTGTCTGTATGGTAGGAAGAAAACATAGAAGAAACATGGGATGCACAATGAAAAGGAGAAACACCAACACAAACAGTAAAAGGTTCCTACACATCACATAAAAATGCTAATATTTTATGGCAAAGGAACAAAGGAGAGACAAAGGAACACACAACAAAATTGACACAAAACATTCCAAAATAGATATATGGTTTAATTTGAAGAGATATACAATTACAAAACAATACATTAAGTACGGAGAGGAGGAACCCTTTCAACACATGCGGTTCAGTTGCTCGTAATAAAAGTAGGACAACAACACATGCAACCATGAATTCAATCTCAACATTTGCTTGCAAAGTGTAGTGCAGTAGCAACTGTAAATAAGTAAATTGTGATGCCCCACAGTTAACAAAGTTAGCTAACTGCTAGCTACCGTAATGCTGTTTTGTAAAATACAAGTCCTCAATTTGACGAGGTGTCTCCAGTTGAGGTTATGATTCAACGATTGTGATGTAATCGACTTTCCAAGCATATTGTGCAGCTGAGCTGTGAATGTGTTTTATAAACTAAGTGTGTATTTAAAAACCTACATGTACCCGAGTGTACATTTGCTTACTGTGGCCGACCTTCCATGCACATGACATTATACTTGTGCTTGTGCATGCGGGCTAATCGAGGCTGAGGTTTATATTGGGTAGAGACCCAGTGAGTGTTATTTCATCTCACTATGTATGAGGATAATATGATGTGATTACCATCATCATCCACTTACCATAGAGCTTGTGGCATGCCCTGTGAAATGTCACACTGTGCCAGGGATAGTGCTGTGATAATATGTATCGTTGTGTGTGTAGTGGGACTGTCTACTGCACATTGAGGATGAGCCCTAAAATAACTATAATAAACGTGCAGCTTCTCTCCACAAGAGACACTGATCTGAAGAGACCCTGTCACCACCTGAGGGGAAGTTAATTCATGTGAGTGACAGCCACTGCTGCGTCTTGCACTAAACACAGCTTGTGGGGTATGTTTTGAATGGATTTTGAATGGTTTTGAATGGATGTGACACTTGGAGAGGGAAAAAAGCGAGAGGAGAAGAGAGGAAGCAGCCTAAAGCCAAACCAGTTGGTTCTGGACTATGTCAGAGTGCCTTTAAATTCACAGCCCCGTCACAGCCCTGATCACCTAGATACTTGTTGAGATCTGAAAGGATTGGACAGGTCTGTGCCAAAAATATGACAAAAAAATGTCCCTAGCCTATTAGAGGGCAAGGTGGAGCTATTACCATGACATATCCTCTCAGATCTCCACAAGTGTCAAGGGGGTAGGGGCTAAAGGGGTTGTTTCTGGACAGTGTAGGGGGTAGGGTATAGGGGGTAGGGGCTAAAGGGGTTGTTTCTGGACAGTGTATTACAAAATCTCCTCCCGCTTACTTCTAATTTTACATCTCTGTTTTTTCTCCTTAATCCCCATCACACTGGTGCTTGAGACTTTGCACAGGTGCAGGCGAGGCATGGGGAAGGGAGGGAGGGGGCGTCTATGTTTCCATGGTGACCTGTGAGCAAGCGTGAACACTCACCAGCTCCTTCTTCTTCATGCATTCCATGAGGATGATGAAGAGGTGTTGGGCCTGGGTCCGGCTGTACGTGAAGGTCTTCTGGATGGTCACCAGCAACTGGTCCCTCAGAGTCTCATTTATGATCCTGATGAGAAGGAGGGATAAGGAGAAGGAGGAGAGGGAAAGAGGGAGGAGGATGAAATTAGAGAGAGAGAGAGGAGAGAGAGAAATGGGGTATGATGAATTGTGGCAGATAAGGGTAAAAGAGACCTGGACCCGAAACTTACATTCAGATTTTAAAGTTGAAGTATTAACGTTTAGCATAAGTATTAGGACTGTATTTGGGAAACACTACTAATGCATCTTACTATACAGATTTTTGGAATGGTTTCTGCATCCCCAGCAATACTGTAGCAAACCTGTGAATCTGATATGTGACACGTACCCTCCCTCCTCTGAATACTTGTGTCCAAATGCCAGGATGTCTGAGGCGCGCCCGCTCCCGTCACACACCACCACGGGGACAGGCGGAGTGTCCCTCAGGTACTCCAACACGATGGAGATCACATTAGGACCCCCCTCCACTATCAGAGCCACCACCGGCACTCCCTGACCAATACCTACAGAGAGTGAGAAAGAGAGGGGGGGGGGAGAGAAAGAGAGAAAGAGAGATAAAGGGGAGGAGGTGGGGAAGAGAGAGAGATGGGGGGGGGTGGATTTGGGAATACAAAGAAAAGGACGGGGGGGGGAAAAGGGGGCAAGATAAGCTGGGGGATAAAAAGGAACAATTAAACCCTTTTTAAAAAAAAAAGGGGGGAAAAAAAAGACGAAAAAACAAAAAATATAAAGAGAAGAAAGAGAGAGAAAACATAAGGAAAAGAAGTAATAAAAAAAAGAAAAGAAAGGAAGAAACGCGAAGAACGAAAAGTTTTAAAGAGAGAGAAGAAGAAAGGAGAAAAGAGAGCGAAAAGAAGAAGAGAGAGAGAGAAGAAGAGGAAGAAAGAGTCTATAGGGGAAACAAAGAAACCCCAAAAAAGGAAAAAGAAAACGAGAAAAAGGTGTAATAAAACACCCCTTAAATCCCTCGAGCACCGGACAACCCGTGAAGAGGGTGCTGCAACTTTCAACGGGGGCCATGTTCGTTTTCCCCCGTTTCCCAAAAAGTGCCCCAACCTCTCACCTCTCAATTAAAAATTAAAAATGCCTGCCAAAAGACAAATCTGTGACACAACGTGCTAAAAATAGTCAGCAGCCGGCAGCACACTTGTGTGTCTCGATTCTGAGAGAGTTTCCTATTTTGCTGGGTTTTTTCTGAGAAGTTTAGTGGAAGCACAGATCTGCACTGAGCCGCATAGAAGCCCTGGAGCGAGCAGGGAGAAAGGGGAGGAGGTGGGGAGAGAGAGAGGGGGGGGGAAGGGGGTAAAGGAAGGGGGGAAGAAAAGGGGGCGAGAGGAAAAAGGAATATAAAAAATTTTTAAAAATAAATAAAAGAAGATACCCAAGGAGAAATTTTTTAAAAAAAAAAAAAGAAAAAAAAACTAAAAAAAAATTTTTTTAAAAAAAATAAAAGAAATTAAAAAAATAATTTTATTAAAAAAAAAATTTTAATAAAATTTTTAATATTCATATATAAAAATTATATAAAAAAACATATAATATTTAAATAATTAAAAAAAAAAATTTTTAAATTTTTTTAAAAATTAAAATTAATAATAAAAAATTTTTTTAAAAGAAAAATTTTTTAATAATATAAAATTTTTAAAAAAAATATTTTTTTTTCCCCTTTGTTTTTTTTTCCCCTTTTTTTTTAAACTTTTCTGTCTTTTTTTAAAAACAAAAAAAAAAAAAAAAAACCAAAAAAAAAAAAAAATTTTTAAATCAAAAAATAAAAATTTAAATTATAAAAAAACCATGTTTCAAATTTCCCCCCTAAAAAAAAATAAACAAAAAAATTAAAAAACATCTTTAAAAATTAAACAAAACCAACACCAAAACTAAAACTTTTAAAAAGGGGGGCCGTTTTCTGCTGTCCCCCCATTAAAACAAGTGCCCCAACATCTCACCTCTCAATTAAAATAGAACTGCTGCCAAAAGACAAATCTGTGACACACGTGCTAAAAATAGTCAGCAGCCGGCAGCACACTTGTGTGTCTCGATTCTGAGAGAGTTTCCTATTTTGCTGGGTTTTTCTGAGAAGTTAACGGAAGCACAGATCTGCACTGAGCCGCATAGAAGCCCTGGAGCGAGCACCCTCCTGCTGCACAGAGGGACAGCCTCATGCTGGCTAATCAGAAGCTATTAAGAGTCATTAGAGGTTATTATCAGGTGGGTTCTGGTGCTCACACACAGGCCTGCCTGGGATAATGGGCCTGGAAAGAGAAAGGATGCAGCCCTACAGTACAAAACCCCCACAATGACGCCCAGTTCCTTTGTCACTGCTTCTCTCTTTCTGTCTCTGTCTCCCACTCTCTCTCTCTCACTCCAACCCACTCTCCGTCACTCTCTCTCTCTTTCTCTCTCTCTCTCTCCCACTCCCACCCACTCTTACTCTCTCCCTCTCTCTCTCTGTCACTCTCTCTCTCTCTCTCTCTCTCTCTCTAGCTCTCATTTGGCTGCCACCCGTCAGTGTTTTAACTCAAATTTAAAAGCCGTGTCCTGCGGGATCCTCCCTCCCATCCTAGCCTGCATAATTTCACTGGTGATAGGTGGGCCACCGACTCAGGGCCCGCTCACACATGTGCCATCATTGTGTCTCGCTCGCTACAGGCACAGTTATATAAAGAGGGACCTATTTTAGGGCCTTGTCTACTTCAAAGCCCTGAACACCAGCACACTGTCAGACAGAGGAGAATATGAACAGAGAAGCGATAGTCTTCTCTTTTCATATCGGTTTTACTTGACTTCTCTTCTTCTGTTAGTCTTCACCTCTGCATGTGTCACGATAATGACTGCTGAGCTTTGGCGTTCACCACCAGAACCTGAAGGGATTAAGCTCCAATTGAAAGACGCCAACGTGCAGATGAGGAAGGGAAAACACAGCTGTGTCGTTGCTAATTGGCTAGACAGAGAGAAAGAGAGAGCGTGGTAGTGGTGCGCGGGTCAGCTGTTTGTTCACCCGCACCCGACCGCAATTGCTAATAACCCATTCGCAATCGCCCTACTATACTTGATAAAGTGAAAATCTGAGGCCAGCACTTGATCCTAACCCGCTAATATAGAAAATACGCTACAGTCAAGAGATGGCCAAACAATTATTTTGCCTGATTTAGATACATTACCAGTCAAAAGTTTGGACACACCTACTCATTCAAGGGTTTTTCTTTATTTTTACATTTTTTTACATTGAATCATAATAGTGAAGACATCAAAACTATGAAATAACACATATGGAATCATGTAGTAACCAAAAAATTGTTAAACAAATCAAATATATTTTATATTTGAGATTCTTCAAATAGCCACCCTTTGCCTTGATGACAGCTATGCACACTCTTGGCATTCTCTCAACCAGCTTCATGAGGTAGTCACCTGGAATGCATGTCAATTAACAGGTGTGCCTTCTTAAAAGTTAATTTGTGGAATTTCTTTCCTTCTTAATGCGTTTGAGCCAATCAGCTGTGTTGTGACAGAAGATAGCCCTATTTGGTAAAAGACCAAGTACATATTATGGCAAGAACAGCTCAAATAAAAAAAGAGAAACGACAGTCCATCATTACTTTAAGACATGAAGGTCAGTCAATACAGAACATTTCAAGAACTTTGAACGTTTCTTCAAGTGCGGTCGCAAAAACCATCAAGCGCTATGATGAAACTGGCTCTCATGAGGACCACCACAGGAATGGAAGACCCAGAGTTACCTCTGCTGCAGAGGATACGTTCATTAGAGTTACCAGCCTCAGAAATTGCAGCCCAAATAAATGCTTCACAGAGTTCAAGTCACAGACACATCTCAACATCAACTGTTCAGAGGGGACTGTGTGAATCAGGCCTTCATGGTCGAATTGCTGCAAAGAAACCACTACTAAAGGACACCAATAATAAGAAGAGACTGACTTGGGCCAAGAAACACGAGCAATGAACATTAGACCGGTGGAAATCTGTCCTTTGGTCTGATGAGTCCAAATTGGAGATTTTTGGTTCCAACCTCCGTGTCTTTGTGAGATGCGGTGTGGGTGAACGGATGATCTCCACATGTGTAGTTCCCACAGTAAAGCATGGAGGAGGAGGTGTTATGGCGTGGGGGTGCTTTACTGGTGACACTGTCTGTGATTTACTTAGAATTCAAGGCACACTTAACCAGCATGGCTACCACAGCATTCTGCAGCGATACGCCATCCCATCTGGTTTGGGTTTAGTGGGACTATCATTTGTTTTTCAACAGGACAATGACCCAACACACCTCTAGGCCTCAACCCAATTGAGATGGTTTGGGATGAGTCGGACGGCAGAGTGAAGGAAAAGCAGCCAACAAATGCTCAGCATATGTGGGAACTCCTTCAAGACTGTTGGAAAAGCATTCCAGGTGAAGCTGGTTGAATGCCAAGAGTGTGCAAAGCTGTCATAAAGGTAAAGAGTGGCAATTTGAAGAATCTCAAACATAAAATATATTTTGATTTGTTTAACACTTTGTTGGTTTCTACATGATTCCATATGTGTTATTTCATAGTTTTAACGTCTTCAACATTATTCTACAATGTAGAAAATAGTAAAAATAAAGAAAAACCCTTGAATGAGTAGGTGTGTCCAAACCTTTTACTGGTACTGTATGTTTCTGCTTATAATTTCAGACCTTTTGGAAGGCTATTTGTTAGTCAACTTGTCTATAATTAGATACACGCAGCTTCTCTTCTGTCATCATATGTTGCCATAGAAGACTAAATAAACCCTTGCTCACCAGAATAATGTCATAAATCGATATAATTAATTATTATTTATTTAGGGAAAACCCATTAAGACCAGGGTCTCATCCGAAGGGTTCCCTGATCACAGCAATACAACAACCAATACAATGTAAAACAAAACAGCAATCAATACAAAACACAACATTTAAGAAAAATAGTTACATTCCTCAGCTACTAGGTCCTCAATCAACCCTCTAAACTGCCTGAGCGGCACCAGAACATCTAACTGTAATGAGTTCTGCAAATTGTTACCAGCAGAGAGGCGCATTAAAACTAAAAGCAGATTTACCTAATTCGGTGGAGACCCGAGGAACCTCAAGAGTTAACCAACTCTGTGAACGGGTTTGGTAACTCATGTTTTTAAACTTCAACAACAAAGTTAGGTAGGTTGGAAGCTTGTGTAGTAGAGACCTTTGTAAACAAAAAGGGAATAGTGAAGTGATTTACGGGACTTCAATGAGGACCAGACAAACATTTGATACAGGATGCAGTGATGAGTATTAAAACTGTCATAAAGCGAAGGGCGCTATGGTAGACGGCATCCAAAAGTTTAAAAGTAGTGGCTGCTGCATTCTGGTAAATTGTTCCACCATAGTCAAGTACTGGCAGAAAAGTTGACTGTACTATCTGCTTCCTGCTGTTTTGGGAGAGCAAAGATCTATTTCTAAAAAAGAAGCCCATTTTAAATCTTACGATAGCTTTTTAACTAGCTCATCA